GAGCCTCAGTGGTTAGGTTAGTAGGTACGAGTTAGTCTAGAGGATTAGCGGAGCAGCCAAGCGTTAAGCAGATTAGCGCAGCGCTGCAGCAGCGAGAGCGGCCAGGAGACAGCGGCGCAGCGGCAAGAGGAACAGCGCAGCGGCCCAACCGCGCCATAGCTACCAGCAGGTAACGGGAGGAAGGCTCTGCCTTCTCTCCCTCTGTTCCATCTGCCTCGGCTCTCTCTCTCTCTCTCCCTACCTTCTCAGTCTAAGTCTACTCCTCCTACAGGACTACTACTACAGTAATGGAGGTGGTTACGATTTCTGATGACATTTGAGACGGCGACATTGAGAGTACGAGTTGAGGACTATTTCGGGATCTGATTCCATCTCTCCTTCGGAGATGTACTTGACATTGTGAGATCGACATCTGGGAGATTGTGAGACTTGGTATTCACAACATTTCGGTTACTATCTTTGGAAACATTGAGTTGACATCATCTCCCCTCTCCTCCTCCTTCGTCTCTCTCCTCTCCCCCTTTCGTCCGTGTATGATTCCAATCCCTGGCCCTTCGTCTCTCCTCAAGGTCAGGGCATTCACACCCGATGAATGTATGAGAGTTGTTCGATTGCAGTCCGAGTCAGGTCTGAGTCAATCCAAAGGTATCATGCCCTTCCGCTGTATTTGTATCAACTCTGTATTATCTGGTCGGTTCTGGGAATCTGCGCCATACTTATGACTGTGTTTCACAAGTATGCAACATCTGCCTAGGCGATGTGTAAAAGTGGTAGGAACCACACCTTTCCCTACATCCAAGCAGGATTGCGCAATCATTTCCAACCCTGGTGTAGCAATGAGTTTGCTGACATGCAATTGCAACTTTGTGCATGGTGCCCTACCACTTGCTTCACTTAAGGTCATCAAGGATCCTTACTCTTGTTGCGGCATGTGGGTGCTTGTGTTGTGTAATCAACGCTTCTTCGAGAGTGGCTACCGGAGTGACTTTAAGCCACTTTGTCAAATCAAGCTTAGCACACCCAGCTTGCATAGCTTGGACTTCTAGGAAGCCCCGTACGACAATCTAGACGTTTGTCCCTAGGATCAAAGACTGGTTCACTCTTTGAGTGCCCTGTACCTCAAAGTAAGCTCTCATGGAGATGATCCCGGATTCAACATCTTCCTTGTCGTCGTACCTAGACGGTAACATCACTGCCTCCCGGTCCACATATGGACTGCTATAGCGGGGACCAGCCCTTGCTGTTGATTTCAAGGTTGCAACAGTTGCATAATTTCTTGCGTTGTCACTTGCAGAAAAAACGGAATTTGCACCTGTTGCAGGTCCTGAAAAACTTGCGACCAAACTCAACGAAGAAGAAGAAGTATGGAGAGGTGCAAGAACAAAACGGTTAGCAACAGGAGGTAGGGGAAGGGAATTTGAGATTTGGGCCTAATGCATATTTGCTAATTGCTGCATCTGCTCACGATGCTCCTTGGCCATGTCCGCCATCTGAGTTCACAACTGGCTCACCCGGTCGAGTAATTGGGACTTTAGACTATGGAGCTCAATGAGCAAGTGACAATATATGAGGGTACGTACATATGTGACCAGATCCCTTTTGACCTCTATATCAGGCAGCGTTGAGACTGTTCTAAAGACGTCCTCATGACCTTCAATAGCGGTTTTCCGCTTGGCCTCTTGCTCCTCCTCTTTGGCCAGCTCCTTCTGATAGAGGGCCTGGTACAATGTTTTATCTTCTTCATCCGCTGCATCCATCTGAGCCTTCAGAACCTCAGAAGGCTTGGCCGCTGCCATGTTGGAACTACTAGATCCCTCAGTAGGCATACCCTCTCTTTCTCTCTTTTCTCTTATCCACGCGTCACGACGGGCATAAAATGAACTTCAGCAAAAGAAACAGATTGAAAAGTACAAAGAAGAGAAGGTAGAACTCCTCTTCGGAGCGGGAAAATATTTGGACTAGAGAGCAACCAAATGAATAATAAAAATAAAATAATTCAAAAGAGAGTTATGACTCCGCATTTCAGTCCGGTCAGACCACGTACAAGATCAGCTCGAGCCTAATCCGATCGGCACCGTCAAAGTACAGCAAATCAGACTACAAGCGACGACATACAACAATGGAGAATTGAGTGGTGTATAAGGTGCAGGTCGAGCATCGGATTGTGCGTCATCCGTCCGCAAAACATCTCAGCCGAGATCCGTTTGGCATCGAGTGCTCTAACCAAAAGAAAACAACAAATTCCAAACAGAAAAGAGAGCGACACTGCGTCAACAGAATTGTGTCCAAGGGGCCCTTCTTGTGTGGGCCTGGTCCCACGTATGCCACGACCAAGTCCCAACTAAAAAGAGTACCACAAGGTCCTACTTTTTGCCTCTATCGTAAAATTAAAAAAAAAACGAAATTCAACTTCAGAGAGAACCTACAGACTGCATCCACTCAGAATGAAAAGACAAACAATACCATGTGGCATTCAAAGCAAGATACTTCATCTCTCCATGCATCAGGTCAGCAAGTAGTTTGCACACCAATGCACACAACCAAGACTTCATAGGAGTAGCAAAAGGATCCAGAAGTACCCCAACAGGACAAACAATACCATGCACGCACACATGGGCAACACCAATGCACACAACCAAGACTTCATAGGAGTAGCAAAAAGATCCAGAAGTACCCCAACAGGACAAACAATACCATGCACGCACACATGGGCAATCCTTAGGTGCACGACACTTTCCTGAGTGGCCCGGACTCTGAGATGAAGTATAACTCACCCCCCTTCCTCATATGGTCTCCCTCACCCTAATCGCTACCTCTACACTGGTGTCCTATCATGTAGGAGGGTCCGACTCCAACACCGACGTACAACGTCAGATCCCCCGCTGATGCTGAAGAACAATGTAGCAACTTGCAGTCCGTAGATGCAGAATGGCTACCTCCCTCAAGCTCGCCTACTTGAGGGAGGCCCATAAGTCGCCAAGTGTCTCCCTTAGGTCAGATTCCAGGTGCGAGTGCCTCTTACTGTTGCCTCTTTCAAATTGTCACACGAAGTCCTCTTGATGTGTCTTGCCAACACAACCTCACTCTTAATCAACCTGGTCAGGTCTAGTGTCGACCCAACACAACTGAACCAGGTGGGGGCAGCTTCCTTAATCCACGCTGCTCCACTTCCCACTTTGGACCAACCCTAACCCTAAGTGGTCAGCCCTAACCACTTAGGTTAGAGTTATGGTGGCTAAGTCAACTCTCGTCAGCAAGTAGAATCCGCTCTGATACCAATGTTATGATCCTGGCCAATTTTGAAGTATACATTCATGAGAAAGTACAATGCCGTCCAATTGCAAAAAGAAATGAATGAACTTGAGAGGAGAGAGAGGGAAAGAAGAAGAAGAAGAAGATGTACACCAGAAAAGACCAATGATAATTCCCTTCTTCTTGCCAACCACTCCACTCCTTTTCTCCTCCCCTCTTATTCAAACAATAAATAATAATAATAATAATAATAATAATAATAATAATAATAATAATAATTATGTTGAATGGCTGAACCAGAATCAATGTCCGAATCCCTCTTCTACTGCAGATACAACATGAGGTCCACCATAGCCATGGCCAACCTTCTCCTTCCTCTTCCTGGAGGCGGACTGCTAGTGCCTTGCCCTGATGTGCAAAAGACAACTCAAAGCAGCTATGGCTGCTCTAGCTCAGGCCGCCATGCCTGACTCTGCCTCGAAGCTTCTTGGTGTAGCTCTACCCCAACTGGGGCCTTCCAGATGCAGCGCCCACCACGGTGATGAAGATGTACCTCTTGCGCTCCCCCTTCCTAGTCCTTGTCTTCCTCCTCCTCCAGCCCGTGCTCCTCCACCATAGCCGGGGTGGGGAGCTGGGCACTTTTTTCTCCCCAGCGGTGCTGCTCCAGCCAGTGCCTCAAGCAGTGTGTCGCCAAACTTGCACACCGAAGAATGAGGAGCCCCTTGCTCCTCCTGGAGATCCAGCGGCCTCTTGGGCGGTGACTTCCAGGCCCTGCGGCCTCCAAGCAACCGGTGCCTCCTCCAGTTCGGAGGGAAACATTATTGCAGACTCTGATATTGCCCGTACAGGCCCTAGACTCACACTGGTTGGACTGGTACGCGCCTAGGCCTAGCCTACAACCACTGGGCCTCTAAAAATGCCATCTTTTGTCTTCTTCTGCTCGGCCTCGAGTACCCGGCACATCTACCTCTACTTGGAGTGTTTTTCTGCTGCTCTAAGTATTGCGGGCCTCTTTCCCCACCACTTGAGTGTCTTCCCCGCTGCAACCCTCAATGTCATGGCCACAGGTAAGTTCCAGCCCGTTGGGCCTCCTGTACGGACGGGTACCCTGCGGGTCACACACACACTCAAATCGCAGACAGGCATTCAGACCAGCAAGCACGCACACACACGCACCGACTTAGAAAACTCAGCAACAAGCGGGAAACTCAGCAAGGCATACATTCCATTGGCAAAACTCAGAAATCAGCTGTGTGTCTCAGTCCGTGTTTGGCAGTTCCTTACGTCCTCCTCTTCTCTGTCTTTTCTTCCCTCTTGCTCTTCTCTCATGCTCTCCTTTGACGTTGTTATACTCTTGAATTGTGCATATGATCGAGACATGGACACGTAATTGATGTCAGAGACTTCACGAGTCGTGCTGAGTTCAGACTTGTATTGCGTTGCTAACTGGCTTGTCAACGAGACTGGGTTCATGACAGTGCCATCCTTTTGCATGTGTCCAGGTGCATGCCAAGGACCTTTCGCTTTGACGTTCCAGTGTCTGACATGAAGTTATAAAGACAGATTAATGCACATTTAGCAAGTCCATTGTTGATGCTTGCATTTGATTTTCTTCTTTGCATCTCCTTTCAGTCGTCAATTGAATTCCTGCAGTTTTCATTTGGATTTTGGGGGTGGCGGTCTTGTGGCTCTGTGAATGGGCCTTTAACGTGGGTCATGGATCATGTCATCCTTTTGTGTCCTTTCAGGTGCATGCCAAGAGATCTCTTGCTTTGAAGATCCAGTGCCTGACATGCAGTGCACCTCTCCTTCAAAGGTGTGTTTCATCTGCCCATAATTTCTTTCTTCGAGTTTGGTTTCATTGTTAAGAAAAGTTAGAAAACTCTTTTTTGTGAAGAAAATTCAAGAAATCAGTCATGGAGTGGCTTTATGCTTCTGTACTCCACTGTGGGCTGGGGGGTTTCTCCTTTTCTTCGCAGTGTGGGGCTTCCATCTTTCACGCCTCCCTGTTTCTCAGTTTTGAGAGGGATTTCAACCAGGTTGACAATTTGTGTTCTTGACTGTTCGTATGTGCGCTGAAGAGAGGAAATGCCTGGGTGAGGCCTGGTGAGCATTTTATGAGCTTGGCTTCAAGTTCTGTCCGAGTTAAGTTCAGAGTCCCAACCCTACTGAGAGACATGGCCCTTGCATAAGGATGACACAGAAATCAAGAAATGGTCCAAATTCAAAACAGAGAAAAGAAAGAAAAAGAGGTTCCAAAGCTGCCCCTGCTCGGCAACCCATGGATCAGAGGTTAGGTCATCACCCATGGACCCTTACTCAAGCGACCAACATCTTCACTTCGTTGTACAGGACACTTATGTGTCCAATGCAGATGGTACACTTCGGAAACAGATTGTTGGTATTCCAATGGGAAGTAATGCTGGCCCAGAAATTTAGAATCTGACGCTTGTTGATGACATTTGTCTGCATTGGGGGTTGAGCAGGCTGATGTTTCATCTCAACCCCTCGGCATAATTTTTTTTGTATTCAGTTCAAGGGCTGTAAACCCGGTCCCACCGGGGGGTCCAATTCCAACCGGAACCAGGCCAGTGGGACCGGCTGGTCCACCGGGCTGGTTGCCCCCCGGTCGGCTATAGCGCATAGCTGAAATCTGGCCGGTTCGAACTTTTTCGGGCCAGGAGGCCCCCACGCGGGTTGTGGGGGCCTCCTGGCCTTGAAAAAAATTGAAACGGGTCCAGTAGGGCAGCCTCCAAGTTTCGAAAAGGGCTGCCTCTCTGGTCCGCCGACCTCCCCCCGACTCACCTGCCATTCCCTCAACAAGCCAACGCCCCTGCTGTCGTCGCCCGTCGCCATCGTCATCGTCATCGTCATCGTCGTTGTCATCGTCATCGTCATCGTCATCGTCATCGTCGTTGTCATCGTCATCGTCGTGCAGCGAAGCCAGCCCCCCCCGCCCGCCAGCGCGCCACAGGTTCTTCTTCTTCTTCTTCTTCTTCTTCTTCTTCTTCTTCTTCTTCTTCTTCTTCTTCTTACGTTCTATGGAAGTGTAGGTGCGCGGTACACACACACACACACACACACACACACACACACACACACACACACACACACACACACACACACACACACACACACAC